CTCTTCAGGGCTGCTCTCAACCAGCTCGGTGCCCAGTTTGTAATTCTGCCTGGGATCGGCCCGACCTGGTGCAGGACCTTGCACTTGGACTCACTGGACCTCAGGCAGTTCGCACTGGCCCATTCCCCAAGCCCGTCAAGGTCCCTCTGGATGGGCTCCCTTCCCTCCAGGGAGCCCACCACCCCACACAGCTCCGTGTCATCCGCCAGCTCGCCGAGGGTGCACTCAATGCCACTGCCCATGTTGCTGCCAAAGATGCTAAACCTGGACCTGGAACAGACCCCTGAGCAACTCCACTTGTCACTGGGCTCCACCTGCACTTTGAGATGCTGATCGCAGCTCTTAATCCAATGATGCATGTTAAGTGTGTTAGCAGTCTCCAGTTTGAGGTGGAATTTTTTTCTTTTTTTTTTTTTTTTCCCCATAAAATGTGAATCATAGAACTAGGACGACTAAACCAGGTTATGTTTTTCTTTAAGTAGGGCTACTTGAATTCCTGCTTCATCTGAGAATTTGCAGGATTTGGGTAATTTTAGAGCTGGGTTTTACTGTGAATTTATTACACTTGGGAAAAAAAAACCCAGTGCTTCTGAATACTGCTGTGATTACAATCAATGTCACAAAGACCTTCTAGACCTCATTTTACAAGCACCTTCCAGATTAACCATTTGCACTTCACACAGCGAACACCTTGAGTAATACTGCGGAAAATAATATAAAAGTTTGGTCTGCTTATACCAGCATAATCATCAAAACTTTTTTTTTCATGATTTGCAATAGCAAGTACCAGACATTATTTGCAGATTAGTTTATTTTGCTTACCGTACTAAACAAATGTAGCATTAATGTCCTAGTTCATCTCAGTAGTACTCTGCTCAGCTTTAGAAGCTTGATATGACTTGGTACAAGAGGTCACATGCCGATGAAAACTGTCCCGCCACATAAATCTTTTCCCACAGATGTTACACTCATATGGTTTTATGCCTGTATGAATTTTCATATGGCCTACAAGATGGTGTTTCATTTTGAATTTCTTACCACAGACACCACAGCCATAAGGTCGAAGACCCAGGTGCATACTCATATGCCGATCTCTCTGACTTTTGTGTGTAAAGCTTTTTCCACACTGACAAGGATACAGCTTATCAGCATGTGAGAATCCAGTGAGGGACGTTTCTTCTTTAATTCCCGTAGCCATTTCAATACCTTCACTGTAGCCTGCTGCTACCATAAGATCCTGTCTGTGAGCACTTAAATTTCCATCTGCCCTTTCACCAGAAAATTCTTCCATAGAAGAGCCATAGAAGTCAACTTGTTCATCATAATTACTTTCATCTGCCTGTTCATCAAATTCTGCTTCCATCTTTTTGTCACCTATATGAAAGTCTTCAACACCTGAAGACTGGATTGAATGATCTGCCTGAATGGCATTCATGGATTCAGAAACCTGGTGTTCATCATAAGGATTATCAACTCCTTCACAGTCTTGTTCAAATCTTTCTGGTTTCACATGGATCCACCGCTTGTGAGACATGATGCTGGGTTTGCTATACATAGGTCTGGTATACTGATACTCTGCACTATCACTAGTTCCTTCTTCACCATCCTGGCTTGTCATTCCAGTGCTAAGTCTGTCATGTTCTGTTGAAGAATTACTGGGAAGGTACTCATGTTCTGTCAGCTGACATGACAGTTCATCTTTAGAGTTGTCTTCTTCATTGTCACCATCCCTTAGTTCCTGCACTTTGTGGTATTCTGTCTGTCCTCCAGAGCCAAGTTCAAAGGTTTCAACAAGACCATTGTAACTACTGCTGCTCGGGGACTGATGATCACTGCTATGATTCAACTTCTGACACAGAACTGTTGGGTTTCCTTCTAGCACTTCAGTGCATTTATCCACTACATGCCACATCTGAAGGAAACTTGCTGCTGTCAAATAACTAACGATTTCTGGAGCAGGCATTACCAGCCGACCTGTATAGGTAGACAGAAGAATGTTTTCAAACACTCTGGGATTCATCACATCAGGCAGGACTATTCGCCTGCTGTTTTTTAGGAGAACCTGATCACAGAAGTAAGGTGAGCTAGCTGCAAGAACAGCCTTATGGGCTCTGAAGAGATGACCCTGAACTACGATGGACACATCACATAATTGTCCTTGCTGGCGCTGCTGGTTTAACTTCTGTAAAATGGTGCTAGAAAAATCTGGAAATTCCACTCGAAAAGAGCTTGACCCAGACTCCATTTCATTACAAACTTAGTGCTGTGCTGCAAGGGAAAAAAAAAAAATAAAAAAAAAATAAAATCAGAAATTCTGCTTAGTAAAGTACTGATCTTTCACCTCCCTTCTACAATTTTTTTTTTCCTCTAACAAATAACACTTAAGCAGACTCACATGGAACTCAAGCCAACATTTTCTGGAACCTATGTCACTGCTGTACTTTCATCTCTCCCACCCCAGCTTACTTCTCTCTTTTCTGAAAGTTGTACTAAGGCCACAATTTGCTACACCAGCACATTTTGTTGTGTTTCTTCTATCCAAGAGGACTCATCAACTACAGCAGGAGCTACAAACAGCATACATTATACTGGAATTCCAGGAGAGACATGGAGTAGCAACCTGTTTTCCTCTGTCAACCTCTGTTTCCTGTAAGTGGGAAAGTGTCAAAGGTTGTAACCGATGGGGTTGTACACTTGAGAGACAATACTTCATAAATCAGCAGACAGTGTGTATATATATATAGGGAATTTAAAGCACTTTGTTAATATGGTACAAAATTAGAATTTGCACTACAAACAGTTGGAGGACTCTGAAATGAAAATACATCTATGGAAATATGGAGCCAAGAAAAAATTATTATGAATCCTTGCTACAGACACCCCATACAATAACCATACTACTTTCCATAGAATTCAGTAACTGTCTGGTACACTGTGTTACAATGCTGCCACGCTAGCACAAACGTGTGACCACGTGCAGAAAAAGCAGCACTGTTTGCTTACAAAATGCAGACTACACAGGAGTGATTATGTAAATCACTTGACGTTTAATTAACAGCTCATCGTTACATAATCCCTTCCTTACCATTCTGATCTGTTTTCCAACTCATATTCTTGACAACTCTCCCCCACTCCCAAAAACATTCAGTGTTCCATCTCCAAAATTTCACAGCTAGAAAAGGAAGGCAAGCATATGGAGCACAGGTGAACACTGCTACTCAGTTTTACCTTACATAAAGGTGAATACATTTTCCATAGAAAAGAGAACCTGGGAATCAGCAAGCCATCAAGACTTTTCAGTAAATACAGGCCCCAAACTCCTTGTAAACACTGAAACGGACAGCTTCTGGAGAACTGTGAACTTTACGCTTTTAAATTTCCTTTTAATTTTTCACTATGCACTTGGTCTGGCCAGGCTGGTTTTCCCATTGCAGCCCTCCTGGTGCAGGGCTTTCGTGTTGAGATCAGAAGGGTGCTGGCAACGCCCGCGCTGTGACTGCCTCTGAGAGCGCTCGCACAGCACCAAGGCTCTTCTAACATCCCTCCCACCAGGAGCTTGGGGGCAACAGAACCAGGGCAGCTGACCCGAACTGACCAAAGGGATACTTCAGACCCTATGACGTCTGCTCAGCTATAAAGCTGGTAAAAAGGTGGGGGGGAGGGGGGTGGGGAAGACACTTCTTTGTCCTCCAGAGAAACCGCTATGTGTTTTGGAGCCCCGCTTGCCAGGAGGGGGCCAGACATCGCCTGGGGATGGGAAGTAGAGATTTTTTTTTTCTCTCCTCTCTTCTACACACAGCATTCCTTGGCCTCGTCTTTCAATTAAACTGCCTCGGTTTTTACCCACAAGGGGTTTTGTTTCCATCTTATTTTCCTTTCCCCTTTTTCTCTGCAGAGGACAGGAAAGGGGGAAGGTGACTGAGTGGCTTGGTGGGCATCTCCTGCTCAGCCAGGGTCAACCAACAAACACTAGAAGCATGGTAACAATCCAACTCTCTTATGAAGGTCTCTGGAGAAAACAGGCTGGGAGGAATAACCTGTTATTTATGAAACCCACTTGTAACTATAAATAATCGGAGCAATATAGTCAAAAGAAAAAAAGTACCTTTTTTGACCACAGTTTCCTCCTTCCTTAAAATCTTACAATAATTTCCAGTGCTGGGTAGCAGGAGTGACTGAAAGGGCTGAATAAAGCTCCTATTGGGGGACAGTAAAAGAACTAAAAATTTTGTAGTTGAGCACAATAATGTGCTATATACAGTCACATTCACTTTTACATTTTCATAAATTGTTCACAATAGCTGTTTAACTTAGGAAGTGTTTACCAACTACCTCAGGATCCTCAGATTTAAGATGAGAATCAGTCATAACTGTAATTATTTCCTTTTTTTTAAAGACTAGGTGGCACAAAGTACTATTCCTATAAATACTGCCTCACATAAATCACTGGTGAGCAGCTACATTCTGCTGAGACAGTAACCAAGATCCATCAGCTGAGGAAGGAGCCTAAAACTTGCATATCTAGCAAGTGCTTTGGCTAACAGTGTTACAAAGGAGAAAAACCCTTCACATCAAGGATACTTTTTTTTTTTAAGAAGGGATTTTTAAGAAATCCCTCTTTTAGCTTCAGCCCTTCAGCTTGCTTTAAGTATTTGACAAGCTAAAAACGTGTCCTTGAACAAGCTTCTCGAGATGTATTCCAACTAGTATACAGAAATTTCATGTGATGGTGTAAAGCATAAGAAGGCACAACTACCCCATCTTCCAAGTGAAAGGAAGAGTCTAGGGACACTAATTAACTCACTGGAAGTGAATTACCACAAACTGTCATACCTCAAGGGTAAATGTGGAATTTGTATTAATACTGCTACACTTATAACCCTGCTGTCATATAACCACTCTTAGTCCAAGAACTGTACGTATTGTTGTCAGTATAAAGTCTTCAGTGGTCTGAATGGATCTTAATTTAGTAAATCCAATGGAGAAACTGTAGATTTTAAAGTTACTTCCTTCGAAGAAGAATCTCCGAGAATCTTGCAGTTAACTGACCTCCTTCAAGCAGTCACGTGTGCAGGAGCAGACCACCTTTAAATTTACTGTCTTCTTTTTTTCCTTCAAATCATCAGTCCTACTATGTACTCATACCACCTACTTCAGGTGACCAAACCTGCTACTGATGTTTTTTTCCAGAGAGTAACAGAATACTATGCCTTCAAGTTCGATTATTAACTTCTCTTATCACTTTGCTTAAAACAACCCGACAGTGTTACTTAGGTAACAGTTGTCTTACACCTAGGCTACAATGTAAAATATCTACTTTTTTAAAACAATCAAGATTTTTTATGCAGAGAGTTCTCTGTGTTCTCTCAGAACGTATTCTTAGGTTTAATGTTGTGTTTTTCAATACTTGCCTACAAAAAGATAATCCTTCAGGATACAGTCAACTGAATTTTAAAGAGACATGTCTATAGAACTTCAAGAATTACTGCTACCCTAAGCTGCCATCATTCAGCAAGAACTCAGCATGCTGCCACAGAAACAGCTCCAAGTGGAAGCAGCTTTTTATACCTTTTAAGTTCTCATGAAAATCAAAGCCATAAAAATATCCGTAGAATATTTTCTATTGGTAAAACCATATTCATCAAGAAAACTTTGTTTTTCCAAAGAGGATTCACTTCCTCCTCTTACAACCTGTTCCGCATTTTCTTTATCCCAACTCATAAATAACAAAGTCTTCCTATTTTAATTAGTAAAAAAACCAACAAACCTTAGTCCCCATGCTGCAACATTAAGTGAAACATAAGTGACAAACTGCTTGCTTTAAAACAAATCTAGTTTCATAAATGCTAGCAGGCAGTAACTTCAGTACTCCGTATACAGAGCTTCTGAAGAAACGGATTTGTTACATCTGCCATGAGAACACCTCAGAACGCTC